TTGAGATACAATAAAAGAGTAAAGTTTTTGTACAAAGTATCGGAGCAGTATCGTCGATACCACCCTGAATTTTACTTGGTATGGGATCGGAAAGGAAATCAGTGGTATCACACATCACTAGTGATCAAATGTCAGGCCAAGCTGGAACTGATTCCTGTCTTCTGTAACTTCTACAACACTGTCCAATAGAGACACATGAATGAACTGCAGCGTCATTAAAACACTGATGATCTTTATTTAAAAATGTAATACATTTACATCTGAATAAACTTTTAGGCATTACGCTGACGGAGGGATGGATGGACCATGAATGCTTTCTCATCCTTCTTGTCATGCACCATGGAAGTGTCTGAGGGGCTTTTCCACTTGGAATGGGGATACTGTGTCCACACTTCAGAGGTGGAGTTTCCAGCATCTCACCTGGGCCTCATCTGCAAACAATCAGCAGGAGGGCTTCTTAAACCAGCGCTGCCTGCTACTCCTCGCCAGTTTGTTCTGCCATCTCCAGTGGTAACTAGGCTTCCCCTCTGCTCCAGTTCTGGCGTGCTCCTTCCCTGTGTTTAACCTTGTTTTCCCTGTGTTTAGGTCTCCTCTGCCAACATACTCATCCTACCCTCAAACTCCCTTACCCGTCCAGCAACTTCTTCTCCCTCTGTTGCAGAATTCCCGTTGGATTGTTCCCATCAGGAGCCAGGTGTTCAGTCTCTCGATAGCTTTTCCTCTGGTTCCTGCTGTCTGCTGACACTCCTAGCTCGAGCCACGTTCTCCATTCCCTCTCTAAAGTCTCATAAATAGTTTAACCATGTGCATTGAATCTGCATTTGGGTCTAAGCTTTCTATGCAGGGAAGAAATCATCACAGTGACATCTATTTAATTTTCAATTCAATTTTATTTAAAGAGCGCCAAATGACAGCAACAGTCACCTGAAGGCGCTTTATATTGTAAGATATACTTACAAAGAAAACCCAACAATCATATGACCCCCTATGAGCAAGCACTTTGGCGACAGTGGGAAGGAAAAACTCCCTTTTAACAGGAAGAAACCTCCAGCAGAACCAGGCTCAGGGAGGGCGGCCATCTGCTGCGACCGGTTGGGGAGGGGCAAGGAAAATAGTATAAAGACATGGAACAGAGACAGAGGTTAATAACAAGTACCATTCAGTGCAGAGAGGTCTATTAAACATAGTGGGTGAAGAAGAAACACCCAGTGCATCATGGGAATCCCCCCGCAGCCTAATGCTGGGCATACACTGTGCGATTTTTGGCCCATTTTGAGCCGATTTTTCAGTCGTGCGATCGTTTTGGGGATCGTCCCGAGTTTGGCCTTGATCAAACTTCTCACCCTGCGAGTCAATCCTACAGTTTGATCAGGAGCCGAATAACGCGACTGAAAAATCGCAGCACAGTGTATGCCCAGCTTATTGCAGCATAGAGGATTCAGGATCACCTGAGTAGGCCATCAGATTACTGAAAGGATACTGAAAAAACCCGTCGAAGTAGTCTTAGTCTTCATTGCTGCTGGTCGACTCAATTGAACACCTCTGAAGTTTGCACACAGGCAAGTATTCCTCTTCTTGCTCAAAATCCTCTCGGGAACGCTTCCTCGAGCCTCCAGTTTCGTGTTCAAGCTCTTCGTGCGCATCTTCAAATACTTCAGAGTCATCATCGCTCCATCTCATTCTTTTGTTTGCTCCTAAATCTTCTTCAGCCATCTCTCTAGACCTCTTCCTGGAAACACCTGGCTGAGGGTCCTCTTCTGGGATGTACTGGCAACCACCCCCACGGTTTTCAAATGCCTCCTCATTTTCAATTCCACCAACATTGAAAATGATCACAACCACAGCATTGTGATCCCCGTGCTGTTCATCGTTGTCACCATTGGCATTATTGTCCCTCACATGAATATTTTGAACATCGTCGTCGTCGTCGTCATCGTCGTCGTCATCGTTGCCGTCGCCGTCGCCGCCGTCATCGTCGTCGTCATCGTTGTCGCCGTCATCGTCGTCGCCGTCATCGTCGTTGTCGTCGTCATCGTCGTCGTCGTCATCGTCGTCGTCGTCGTCGTCGTCGTCGTCATCGTCGTCGTCGTCATCGTCTTCGTCCCCGTAAAGGTAATTGTCATATTGTGCCAGTACTGAAGCTATTAGCTCATCTAGATAGCAACAATATTCATGGAGAGCGCGATACAGTCTGTTCAGGAAGCCATTAGCAGGTTCCTGATCTCCATTTGCCAACATTCGTGGGTTAACCTGTTGGCCTGCAAGATCATTAAATCTTTTAATTAACATCCATAACTATCTGCTGAAAATCTGTTTTTCATCAATTTCAAGACTGAGTACATGTGCTTACCGTTTTGGTTATTTTGTGGTCCGTCTCCACTTGCACTCATTTTGACTACAAGGAACACAAAACAACAATGATCACTAAACCTCAACCCAGAATGTTCAGAGAATTTGCTTTTTTTGTGATGACTTTAGGCTGCGTCCAAACGTACACGGCTATGTTTGAAAACTGACGTTTTTCCTTTTTCGTTTAAAAAAAATAATCCAGTCCACATGTGCAGTTTTGAAAAAATATCTCCTTCCACATCTAAACACTAAAACAAAGTGAAACGCTGTCAAGAACACGCCAAATCTTAACCGTGTAGAAATGTTGGCCAATCAGAAGTCTAGAAGCCTGGGTGGGAAAACCTCATAAAACCTTACGTACTTCTGAGAAGTTTTTGTCTTTTTCTGGAAAAGCAGCTAATTTTGTGTCACTTTCACGTGCCTTCATCGTTTCAAATGTTAATAACTAAAGACAGACTCACAACTTTGGAATGGACTAAATGCATACAGCATACATAAATGTCATTTTTTAAATTACATTTCTTCCAAACCGACGTCAGGATTTGGGTTGGGAGAGCGTCTGTGTTGAATGTAGAATCCACGTCTGATGTAAGCGTGTAAAAACTGCAGATACTAAGATTAACAGACACAGTATGTTGTCTACATCTGCCATTGTAGAAATTGATCTCATGTAAACAATAACGTGGCCACAGCGTGACTTCAACAGCGGCGCACACTTTTGACATTGCCTGAGTAAATGTCCGTTTTCCTCGTCCACACCTGAACACAAAAACGTGCTTTTTAAAAATCTCACCTTTCAGTGACTCAATCTGCTGTTTAGGTGTGGACGAAAGGCCCAAATGCAGAGACAAAGCTGCGCTTTCAAAAATAGCCGTGTACATGTGCACGTAGGCTCAGTTTCTCAGAAATTCTAATAGTTTGTTTGAGAACAAAACTTACGTCTTCTCTATTTTCCTAAATGAACAAAATAATCTGAGAAATAATCGTGTTAAAAAGAGCTTCTGTCACTCTAAGATATGATTAAGAACATTTTCTAATTTATGTATCATTTGTCAAATATTACATCAGCTGACAAATAGTTAAGTCTTCATTTGTTTTCCTGAATAATAGATCCACATCATCCTCTCTATGATGGAAAATATAGTCTAGTCTTGCACAATGTAAAGTACATAAATACTGTCCTGGCAAGCAGGGAAATCAGGCTTTATATATTTAAGTAAATGATCTTGAGTTTATAAACTGAAATTTGAGCTTACTTTAGTTCTTGGTAGATTACACAGCAGTTAATCCTCAGGGAAACGTCCAAATGTCACTAAATAGTGGTCTGCTTTCATTCGGTTGCAGTGTCTCTTCCGTTTTGTGTTCATATGCTGATGTTTTCATTCAAACATGTTTAAATGCTGTGATGTCACTTTAGCAGCAAAGACTGCGGAATGTGCAGAGATTCTTTTGACATCAAGTTGTTTGCTCAGATTTTGATATCTTTTAAATGGAGACAAAACAAAACGCTATGGCAACAAAACAACAAGCTGTTTCCAGTGCTTAATATTTAACATGTCTTTGTTATAAATTTTATTTGTACAAATCTGTGATGTTGATGTGCACAACGTGGGATTTAGACCTCGGAGGGTTAATCAACAAATCACGAAAAATTAGGTTTAAATTTCTGTTCATGACGGTGCAGATTTCTGACATTTTGTGTACTTGAAGCATTTAACAATTTGATTGTTTTCTAATAAAAACTGTGTGAAACTCAAGTTAGAACTGTGTTTGTAAATGAACCGCCCCATGTTGTGTAGCTTTCTGGATTTTATACTTATTGGGCTACATATTAATTTACTATACAGGCTATACAGTAGATAAAATCTAAACTCACATGTTTTATGTAACTAAAGTGTTTAATCATGTGGGCTTAGGGTTGCCAACTCCCTGAAAAATAAATAAGGGACACCTCGTGGCCAGGGCCGGGCGACCCAGTTGTCTTCACCCTTCCAGTGTGGTGAATTTTCTAGCTCTTGTTTTGTGTGTGAAATTATTTTTTTAACCATTTGACTTGAAGTTGATTTAAGTAGATGCATATTCTATTCTTTGTGATATGAACACATGTGAAACAAATGATCATTTAGCCATTTATTTTTTAGCTCAAAATGACAACATTAACACATAAAACAGGTCTCTTTCTTAAACAGAAGCCTGTCATGCTTAACTTTTGAGAATATAAGTAAATCTTTCTTTAAAAGCACTCTGTCCTGCTTAACATAAAATAATAGAAAACAATAGAAAGAAAAACATTCTTGTAACAGTGCACATTTAGTGCATTTAGTACAATTGGCTTCAGTTGAGGTATTATTTCAGCTTTTCTAATGGTAATCAGCTGCTCCTGTTTGTAAACCCGCTTGTTCCCATGATTACGCATCATAACTCATCATCATTATTCATCTATGTATTACTTTTATGTATTAGTCATCTATTTGTTGTAATCATCTATCCTTACAGATGTTTATTACACAAAATAAGTTATATTATCACACTTCTGGCCACATAGCGCTGATATTCACTGCACATGCCCATATTAACGTTTTCCAGCCAGGTGTTTTCCTTTTCCCATTCTTCCCTTTCTCTGAGGGGAACAAACATTGCTGCTCTAACGCTGGGCTCACACTGTGCGGTTTTTGGCCCATGTTGAGCCGATTTTTGAGTGATCGGACCGATTTTGGCCTTCATCGTGCGTCGTGTAGTATACGTGGGGTAACGAGAAGTGATTAACACCTCACGACCAGCTCCCGATCATCAATCGCTCGTGAGGGTGTCACCACAGGCGCTCACACTGCTCACGCGCAAACGTAAACGTCGGTGAAAAAGACGGCGCAGCACGGCTGTGCAGCGTGTGATCTGGACACAAGCGATGGAGGCACAACTTGTAGAACTTTGGAAAGCTCATCCGAGCCTTTTCGATGTGGCATCACAAAATTATCATGACCACAACAACCGTGAAAATAGTTGGATTTACACTGCTGCTTAATCACAGCTGCCTGATCATGTTTTTCATTAGCAATTTAGCAAAGTTGATGGTGGTGGTTTGTGTGTCTGTGTGAGTGAAAGACAGAGAGAGAGAGCGACAGATTTTCTGTTATAACCTTCATGTTATGGAGGCACAGTGTGAGCTCTCAGGTCGCATCAGAGCATCGGGCGGTATAGTGTGAGAGTACATCGTGACATACGAACGTACGTACGTGCTTGCTTCGGCAAGCGCGTACGCTAAATTGGATACGATACAGAGAAGATTAGCATGGCCCCTGCGCAAGGATGACACGCAAATTCGTGACATACGAACTTCTAACCCCTGCGAGTCAATCGTGCAGTTTGAGCAGGAGCTGAATAACGTGACTGAAAAAATCGCACAGTGTCTGCCCAGCTTTAGGTGTACTGTCATCCGAGACTTGCACCGCAGTGACGGCGTTTGTTCCCCTGTTGGCCATGCTTCTTGTTGTGGTCATCTGTTGTCTTCCGGTATTTTCTCCGCAAGCGACCTTTCCTCGACCAATGAGATGAATTCAATTCAATTCAATTTTATTTATATAGCGCCAAATCACAACAAAAGTCGCCTCAAGGCGCTTCATAGATACAGAGAAAAACCCAACAATCATATGACCCCTATGAGCAAGCACTTTGGCGACAGTGGGAAGGAAAAACTCCCTTTTAACAGGAAGAAACCTCCGGCAGAACCAGGCTCAGGGAGGGGCGGCCATCTGCTGCGACCGGTTGGGGTGAGAGAAGGAAGACAGGATAAAGACATGCTGTGGAAGAGAGACAGAGGTTAATAACAGATATGATTCAATGCAGAGAGGTCTATTAATACATAGTGAGTGAGAAAGGTGACTGGAAAGGAAAAACTCAATGCATCATGGGAATCCCCCGGCAGCCTACATCTATTGCAGCATAACAAAGGGAGGATTCAGGGTCACCTGGTCCAGCCCTAACTATATGCTTTAGAAAAAAGGAAAGTTTTAAGCCTAATCTTAAAAGTAGAGATAGTGTCTGTCTCCCGAATCCAAACTGGAAGCTGGTTCCACAGAAGAGGGGCCTGAAAACTGAAGGCTCTCCCTCCCATTCTACTTTTAAATACTCTAGGAACAACAAGTAGGCCTGCAGAGCGAGAGCGGAGCGCTCTAATAGGGTGATATGGTACTACAAGGTCATTAAGATAAGATGGGGCCTGATTATTTAAGACCTTGTATGTGAGGAGCAGGATTTTGAATTCAATTCTGGATTTAACAGGAAGCCAATGAAGGGAAGCCAAAACAGGAGAAATATGCTCTCTCTTTCTAGTCCCTGTCAGGACTCTTGCTGCAGCATTTTGGATTAGCTGAAGGCTTTTCAGTGAGTTTTTTGGACATCCTGATAATAATGAATTACAGTAGTCCAGCCTGGAAGTAATAAATGCATGAACTAGTTTTTCAGCGTCACTCTGAGACAGGATATTTCTAATTTTAGAGATGTTGCGCAAATGGAAGAAAGCAGTCTTACATATTTGTTTAATATGTGCGTTGAAGGACATGTCCTGGTCAAAAATGACTCCAAGGTTCCTCACCGCGTTACTGGAGGCCAAGGTAATGCCATCCAGAGTAAGAATCTGATTAGATACCATATTTCTAAGATTTTCAGGGCCGAGTACAATAACCTCAGTTTTATCTGAATTAAGAAGCAGAAAGTTAGCGGCCATCCAGGTCTTTATGTCTTTAAGACATTCCTGCAGTTTAACTAATTGGTGTGTGTTATCTGGCTTCATGGACAGATAGAGCTGGGTGTCATCTGCATAGCAGTGAAAATGTATGCTATGTCTTCTAATGATACTGCCTAAGGGAAGCATGTATAATGTAAACAGAATTGGTCCTAGCACTGAACCCTGTGGAACTCCATAATTAACCTCAGTGTGTGAAGAGGACTCTCCATTTACATGCACGAATTGGAGTCTATTAGATAGATATGATACAAACCACTGCAGCGCAGTACTTGTAATACCTACAGCATGTTCTAATCGCTCTAATAGGATATTATGATCAACAGTATCGAACGCTGCACTGAGGTCTAGCAGGACAAGCACAGAGATGAGTCCACTGTCAGAGGCCATAAGAAGATCATTTGTAACCTTCACTAAAGCTGTTTCTGTGCTGTGCTGAGCTCTGAAACCTGACTGAAACTCTTCAAATAAACCATTCCTCTGCAGATGATCTGTTAGCTGTTTGACAACTACTCTTTCAAGATGAGCGGTAATCTGAATTGTCATACTCGAATTGTCATAAGTGTGCTGTCAGCTCATTGGTCACAAAGCAGGAGAGGGGCTGGGAATTATGTTTTCAAACAAAGTGTTAATTCCATTAACATTTATAGACTACTTTTGATTCTCACTGTATTACGGAACAAAGTGCGTCCCTTATTAGCTCAATACGGGACGTGTACTTTTGTTTCGAAATACGGGACGATTCCGTATTTTAAGGGACGGTTGGCAACCCTATGTGGGCTACAGACAGTAATCAAGTTATGGACTATATTGATATGAAAAACATGCATACTTAGTGCATTTGAATCATTTTAACCATATGTAACCACCTGCATGTCATGGTCCTGGGACTTCTACCTGGTTTTTTGTGTGTCTTGTATTGTTGTTGTTTGATGTCAGCTTTAGGGTCCCTCGGTTGTTCTGTTAAGATGTTGCTTATTTGATTTCCCCTCGTGACTTTACCCCCTGTGTGCCCCCTCTGTGTATCTGCCAGCCCCCATGCCTCGTTTCTCCTCCTTGTGTTTTATTCCATGTTTTCCCAGCCCGCTACACTGAAAAAAGTGATATTGTCTCCTTTTAAATATAGCATATTATATTTTGGTATATCTTGTCAATTCAAATGAGTAATTCCTGTCTACATATATAATTCGAGTAACTCCAGAATACATTCCCTGCGTTTTAATCCAATTAATTTTAGTTAATTAAATGTAGCTCAAAATGCTTAAGTATGTTATTCATAGCATCCTGCTGGGCCATTTTGCGCATGCGTTAGGACAGGCCACCATTTTGCGCGCGGACTGAAAAAGCGGACGCTTTGTGTGCTGCAAGCAGGCTCAAGTTAATCGCACAACTTCATATAAAGGTGGTCTAGCTTCGGTAAGTAAACCTTTTACGGTCGTTTTTGTTTTAGTTTTTTTTACCTCAGTCAAAGCATGTTGACTCTTTAAGACGTGTGCACATGGAGAAAGAAGTCTAAGTAGTTGTACAGCTCTGAACTTTGTCGTGATTTGACTTAAGCTAGCTATGTGCTCTATTAGCTACTGCTCTATTAAAAGAGTAATTGTA